GTCTAGACGTGGATTTGAGGTGATTGGCCTAGATTTCTGGGTTATTGCCTTAAACGTTTGGGTTCATTTTTTTGTAAAAAATATACAGTTCTGTCACCTAGGCACTATTTAACGTTTGTTTTATTTCCGTTGGTACCCTGGAAATAAAAAATGTCCTGTGACGCAGTAAAATGTAGCAATGTGTTTTTCCAAACTAGAAATTTGTTGTCTTCTTCCTCCACATCATATCTGTTTTTTTTTCCATCTAATTCAGATCATAAAAATCTTCAATGAGGACGGGATGGGAAAGGTGGTGGAGATCCCAGCCAACATGACTGCACGAGACCTGTGCCAGTTTCTCGTCTATAAAAACCATTGTGTGGACGATAACAGTTGGGCGCTTGTGGAGCATCATCCATCCCTGGGACTCGGTAACTGGCTTGCTAGTGAATTTATAGAGCAGTTTTAATGTGTCTGTGTGTGCGTCAACCACTTTAGATGCAGTAATTACAGGGTCTTTTGTGCTGGAGTTGAAATCAATGATGACCATGCAAGAGAAGAAGACAGACTTCCTTGATTCATCCTTTTATGTCCTCGGGCTGAGAGTAATTGATTAACGGTTGCCGGGGGAAATCCCGTTTCACAGAGAGACATAACAGGAAGTTAGGTTCCCCAAGAGTAGAACTGGTACTGGTTCGGTTACTTTGTTCACTGTCATGTGTTAGTTTTGTCTTGTGTTTTATGCTTCAGGACGCCATTTTAAATGCGATTCAAGACAGAGCCAAAGCTGTTCAATCATACAAGATTGAATTTCTATGGTTTCATTCTCACCAGAAAAAAAGAAGATGCATCATGGTCAGCACAAACCATGTTTATGAGCATTTTAAACCATATGGAAAGTAGTTTGAATCATATTTTCTATTACCTTACATAGTTCTGTTCTTGTTATTTAGTTGTTGTTGTTGTTTTTTTTTTTTTTCAGAATGAGTGCATGTCACCCTATGCTAATTTAGCTAACTTCTAGCAAGTGTCTGATGAATTTGTGATTAAACACCATAGACTTTGGTGGGCACATAGCCTTGAGAAGTTGATAAGCCAATGATTTTGCCATTCTAACTACAGAATTGTATATTTAATGCGACCAAACTGTTGATAACTACTGCTTTTGCTCTTAGCTTTTTAAACTAAAACTTGCTCAGTGGGTTTTTTGACATTGACGGTTGCTGTCAGAGTGCACGTTGTGGGCAAATCTCTTGGCTAATGCATGCTGTGTGTTAATTGGTTACCTCAAATTACCTGTGGCGAGAATGCACAGGCTTGCTAGTAGAACTAAAGTCAGCCCAGGGCAATGAGTCGTACAGGAAGTTCAACCACCCGAGTACGTGGTCTGGACAGGATTTTGTTTTCCATCCAACTATTTGTTTAGTTTGGCAAACAAATCAAATGGTTTTCTTTTTTACTTGCAACCTTTTATTTACATCCTGCTCCCCTTCTCTGTCTAATCATTCTTTTGTCCTTCTTTCAACGTTCTATTTTACTTTCAGTTTCCAAATGAGTGTGAGGATATGACAAATTATTTGGCAATTTGGGGAAATGTTGGGGAATTTTTCAACTGTAGCTTGCAAAAAGAAAGAGCCTACTCATAGATTTAAGTGGTTAACCTAAAGTCAGTTAATTGTTGGTAGCTACATTACAATATGTTCATAAATAGTAGCTAACAACATTGCAGCTAATAAAGGGGGTAATACATATATGTTGTCCTAAATATATAACTCTATCAGATATTTTTTGTAATCATAGCACTGTTTATCTGACACAAATACAATGGAAATCTCAATGACAGCATTCAGTTGTTAAAGGGATTGTTCACCCAAAAATGATTTCATAGTCAAATTGTTCCAAATCTCTTTGA